CAAATTTGTCATTGGTTTGTCGGGGGCTGGCCTCTTTATTGATTCTGCTGGTTTAGGGGCTTGAATGATGTGCTCCTGAAATTTGAGTATCAACTCAGACAGTTTTTTCTTCTCAGTAGTCTTGATTTAAGGTTTGACTGGCTCAGGTGGCTTTTCATCATTATGTCTACTTTTTGTAAAGCCTACAATGCTTAAAAAGTAATCAGTTGTTCTTCTCTTACAGCAAGACCAAGTCTTTAATGCATCATGAGAGACGGGAACACCTGGATCAGTGGTTCTCAACCTTCCTTTAATACAGTTCCTCATGTTGTGGTGACCCCCAATTGTTACAAATTGAACATAATTAAAGCACAGTGATTAATCACAAAAACAATATGTAATTATGTATGTGTTTTCCAATGGTCTTAGGCAACCCTTGTGAAAGGGTCGTTCGACCCCCAAAGGGGTCGCAACCCACAGGTTGAGAACCGCTGACCTGGTTGGTATGTGGGAGCAGGGTCAAAGTGGTCTTGACATTGCAGCCCTGGTTGTAGCACAACCAGGCCGTTTCTTTTCCCACCAACACAAGTCAGGCCCAAACCCAGAGACGGCAAGACGGTGTGTTTACAACTCCCCCTAGTAACCACTGGTCTGACAGCCTGGTTTTTGTTTTGTTTTTTGAACCATGAATGTTTTTTTTTTAAAACATATTTTATTGATTTTTTACAGAGAGGAAGGGAGAGAGATAGAGAGCCAGAAACATCGATGAGAGAGAAACATCGATCAGCTGCCTCCTGCACATCTCCCACCGGGGATATGCCCGCAACCAAGGCACATGCCCCTGACCGGAATCGAACCCGGGACCCTTCAGTCCGCAGGCCGACGCTCCATCCACCGAGCCAAACCGGTTTTGGCGAACCATGAATGTTTTAATGCAGCATCTTGTCTATAAATTGTTCAAAGTCACCTGATAGGTACAGGGCTTTGGGGCTTTGGGCAGTTTGACCAGCCATCCTTGGATGTTCCAGTATCAGGACACTCCCAGTCCTGCTGTGATGTGAAGCTGCAGGCGCCCCACTTGACTCTCACTTCCTGTAAGTAAGTGTCCCAGAGTTCCTCAAGCTCCTAGAGGCAGCTGAGTGGCTGCGGCTTTTCAACCTGCCGCCTGGCTCATTTATGGCTTGAATTTCAGAGGAACACTGTGTAGATTACCCTGCTCCATTACCTGCTACTTCCTTAAAGTGCTATCAATATTATGGACAAGTTAAACTCCATTCGTTTCATAACCAAAAGGTAAAAAGGCACCCTGAATCGCCTCTCCACTCCGTCTCCCTAGGGGACAACTTTCAGCTCCCATTTGTTCTGTCCCAACCAGAGTAGAATGACTAATGAAAGCTGGTCTGATTTATTCCGCATATTCGGGTAAAGAGGATTACCCAAACAAACAGTATTTAACACATTCCTGAACTGGAGGGCGAAGATTCACAAACAAGAAAATGCCACTTTCGCTCCCCCCCCTCCCCCCAGTGGTTCCAGCAGGCACAAGACACCTGCGGAGGACGCCCTACTCTCCCTGAGTTCATCCCGACGTTCCCACGTGCTCAGGCCAGGGGCCTGGGAGGCATCCTTTTCTCAATCCCTCCTTTCCCAAGACCAGCGCATCAGCGGGTCCAGCGGGTCCAGCCTCAGTCCACTCACTTGTGCCACCACTTCCTCCCTCCTAGATGATCGTAGAGACCCAATCGCTTTCCTTGCCTCCTCCCCTGCCCAACCCCCCCATTCCTACCCTCCACAAAGCAGTCCCGATACAATATAATTACATTGCATCACTCCCCTGCTCAAACCCCCAAGATCCGCCACACCTTTAGAATAAATACACCCTCAAGTGCTTCCTGGGCTCCGAGGTGCTGCGGGGCCACGCGCCGCCGGCTGCTCCCACAAGCCCTG